ACAAGCGCGCCATACCATCCAGCAACTAACGGCCAGGCTGAACGCATGGTTCAAGAGCTGAAAATGGCACTAGCTAAAAGAGGAAGAGAAGATCTGAATTGTGTGGTTGCCAGATTTTTATTCAAACAACATACAACAATCCATGTGGCAACAGGAAAGACACCTGCTTGGATGCTTTTTGGAAGAGAACTTCCGTCTGCTCTCGAGCGACTATAGACGTTCAGCCCCGAGACACCTGAAAGCACTGCCACCTTTACAAACCCACGCAAGCTGAATGTAGAGCAAGCAGTGTGGGTTAAAACATTTCCAGACGGTAAAAAGTGGATACCGGGAGTGATCGAACGTCAGCTGGGACATCGCTCTTGGATGATTCGGGTAGAGCAAGGTTCAATTCGCCGGCACACCAACCACATACGGCCGCGAAGAGTGGCATCGCATAATCAACCTCCACAGACAGCTGTGGCACCCGCATGGGACATTAACAGCCGTGATGACCTGGCTCCGCAACCCGCGACAACCATCAGGGACAACAGCACAACTGCTATTCCTGAGAAATCGCTTCCTGTTGTGCCGCCGGCAGAGCCTGACACTTCAGGCACTCGAAGAAGTTCCCGAGACCGGCGACCACCTCAAAGATATGGACATGACGTCTAGTGGGGGGAGGTGTTATGTCCGGCATAACATGGAAAAAGAAGAAGACGCGCCTCGTCTTCTTCTGCGACATCAGACAGTGTACGTGCCTGCGCATGCAGGGACATTCGGTCACGCTGCCATCACGATCGCAGAGTAAAGCTACTCATTGTGCTTTCCGTAAGCGACTCCTGATTACTCATCACTTAACAATTACCTTACCGTCAAAACCTGCGCGACAAAGTTAAGGGCGTTTCTTGGGGGTTGGTGACATATTACCACAAGTTTTTGCCAGACATATCCTTGATCTTAGGGACCTTGTATGACCTTTTAAAAAAGGGGGACTGTATGGAAGTGGACCAGGAGGAAGCTTTTCTGCGCACAAAAACTCTGCTGCAAGAAGCCAACTTTCTTGTGCACTATGACCCCAACAATCCGTAATGATTAGAATGCGATGCATAACCCACGGGAATCGAGGCAGTACTTTCGCACCGAGAAGATGGCATGGAATGCCCGATCGGATTTCGCTCCTGCACGCTTTTGGCGGCAGAGCAAAACTATACTCGCAGCTGGAGCGTGAGGCACTTCCTCTTGTGTTTGGTGTAACGAAATTTTGTCAATACTACTTGCTGGGACATACTTTCATGCCGGTTACTGACCATAAACCCCTCGTACGGCTTTTGCACCCAGAGAGCCAATCCCTGGAATGGCTGCCGCAAGAATACAGCGCCGGGCGCTACTGCTAAGTGCCTACTCGTACATCATCGAGTACAAGCCGGGGAAAAGCAACATCACGGCAGATGCTTTGAGTCGCCTACCAGTGCCTGGAATTGAGGCTGACAGCACACGTTTTGCGGACAAAGATGCTCAAAAATACATCCTGCTGATTGAACAGTTCAATGACGGGGTGATATCGGTGAAGGAACTAGCAGCACTCACTAACAATGATTTGCAACTACGGCAAATGTATGACTGGATACAGAATGACTGGCCGCAACGGTTGCCGGAGTCACAGCTGGCGTTATGCCCGTATTTTTAACACTAATGCTGAGTCAGGGATTGATCTGCTGGGAGCACCGTGCAGTAATTCCAACAAAGGCGAAAGAAACATTGCCGGAAATGTTACATGCCCTGCACCAAGGCATTGCGGCTATGAAGACGCGTGCGCGCTCTCTCTTTTGGTACCCCCGGGTTGACAGCGACATCGAACGGTTGGCTAAACTTTGTCAGGTTTGCGTGCAAGCCTCCTCTATTCCACCAGCCAAGCCTCCTGTTAGCTGGCCTGGCACGGGAGAAAGGTTGTGAAGATTGCATGTCGATTTTGCAGGACCGGTCAATGATCACATGTTGCTGACTGTCGCTGATTCACACAGCAAGTGGCTCGAGGTCATACCAATGAAGCCCGCCAGTTCTCTGACGACGATCAAACCCCTGCATACTATTCTTCTTGGACGGTTCGGGTTGCCAACTACCTTTGTGTCAGATAATGGCCCGCAATTCACAAGCAACGAATTTCGCAGGTTCTTGTAGCAGAACGTCATTCACCTGACGACGGCGCCTACCACCTACAGTCGAACGGACTGGCTGAGCAGGCCGTACGCACCGTCAAGCAATGACTGCGGAGAAACCAAGTGGGATCCCTTCCGACTGGGCTGGCCAGACTTCTCCATCGGTACCGCCGCTTTCCCCTAGGTCATGGCAAAACCCCGGCCATGATGTTCGGCTACGAAATCCGCTCGTGCTTCGACAACGCTGTGCCTCCACCATGGTCAATGAAGGAGTTACCACAACAGACGTTCCAGAAAGGGCAGCCAGTGAGGAGTCGTAATTACGGGATGGGGGATAAGTGGGAACCAGCAACAATAGAAGAAACCATGGGCGCAAGAATGGTTCCTGTGCACGACACGCACAGGGTCAACAACGGAGACACCATGACCAGCTGAGAAACCGAGTTGTCCGCACTGTGCCAACGCCCACAGTGGAAGCCATATCTACAGTACCGGAGGAATCGATGGTGGCCTGTACTGACGACCCCGCGGACACGGTCTCGGAGCCTGCAAGGAGCTCCACAAATGATCCCCCAGTCACCACCCAACCCACGACTCCGCTGCGGCATTCTACTACAAGACGGAAACCCCCCCGATTGCTACTCGCCTTAAGGTGGGGGAGTGCTGTGTTGAACAATGACTGTGCGACCCGCGCTGTGACTGACGATGACGCGGCTGTTATCTGCTGCTAATCTACTCTTCCCTTCCTTTGGTTATTCTGTTCTTTCTTTTGTTCACTAACATGCCAAGCTGTTAAGGAGGCAAAGCCCAACGAATAAACAAATAAATGTTTGGTCTGCCCCAGATGTCATCCGAGTCACTTCAGTAATGTTGCAAAAACTCCAGGATTATTTGTTTGTTTGTATATATATAGGTGCATTGATCTTTCGTGTATATTTTCATTCCTTCTTACTTTATGTTGAAGTGTGAGAGATTACTATCTCTTTTTTTGTTATTTTTTTCAAATGGCCACTGTTTTGTGACTGATTTTAATGTTGTTACATACTCATATTTATTATAATGCACAATCGAGGCATGTTTTATGGTTTTCAGTGTTTTTCCTATTTTACATATATATTGTTACATGAAATTGTAATTTTGATCTATATTTACACAATGTTGCACAAATGTTTTAGTTTGTTCACTTGTCTTAAATTGCTTTGGTGGATCACAGCATTTATTTATATTGCATTTGTCATCTTTGCTACGTTGTTGTGCTGCACTGCTGAACTGTAGGGGGGCAGAGGCCCTGTCAGCCTTTATCTCTGTCCCCCCCCCCCCCCCCCAACATCAAAATAAAAACAAAAAGTCAACGGCTGCCGGCGTGTTTGTTCTGCAGTGACAAAATCTGGAGGTGCCAAGAGGCGAAGTCAGGACAAGCGAGACCGACAATGTGGCACCAGTCGTCGGGACGCCGCACGTCTGACAAGTGAGTTCATAGCAGGTTTGCGCCTTTTTGTCCACGATCTGCGTGCGCGACATTGGATTCCGTAACACGAGTGGTTCCCGCGTGTACGTTGCACCGTGAAATGCAAATCTGCTGCATCCACAATCTGCGGTATCCGTTCCCATGGCATAAAGTTTGTAGCGGATTCCCGAGTTTTTGTCCACGATTTGCACGTGCGATCTAGATTCTACGCGAGTTAGTCCCGCGTGTATATTGCATCGTGAAATACGATTCTGTTAAATTCACAATTTGCGGTATTTGTTCCCGTAACTATGAGTTTGTAGTGGATTCCCACGTTCTTGTCCATGATCTGCGTGCGCGGTATTGGTTCCGGTGACAGGCAAGTTTGTAAAGGGTTCCCGTGTGTTTATTGCACCAGAAAACTTGAATCTGCTGCGTCCGCGATTTGCGGCATTCGTTCCCGTGAGATGAGAGTTCTCGGCAGGTTTCCGCAAGTCCTTCACACCATGAAAACGCAAATCTGCTGCGTCCACAAGCAGCAGTATCCTTTCCTGCGACACAGGAGTTTGTAGCGAATCCCTGCGTGTTTATCGCATCGTGAAACGCGAATTTGCGGTGTTTGCAATCTGCGGTATCAGTTCTCACGTCATATAGTTTGTAGCCAGTGCCAGGGTGTTTATCATTAATTTTTGATAAAGTTTTGCTGTGGCATCCTCTACGTTTTTCACCATTTATCTCTTCCTCTTGGGTGTATGTTCTTTCTGAACTTTATGGTAAGCATACATTTGTTTTGCTTTCCTCATTTCCACAGAGCAGCTTCTGGTCACGTTTTTATTTAATGCAGACGACGCCATGTTGAACACACTTTTTCTTCTTAACAACTTGGAGTTCTAGATCTTTCATTTTAAGAACCGGTTTGAACCGGTTCATGCTCGGTGAAACCGGTAATCTAACCGTTATTTTGAATTCATCATTGAACCAGAACCGAACCGGAACAGAGTGCAAAAGCTACTGACCCGAACACAGACCGAACCAGAATAACGACCGGTTCTACTCCCTGAAAAAAACTCCATTTATTTTACAACCACTTAACTCAACGTACATCATAATTCGACATGCTGACTGCCGTGTTAAAAGCTGTCTATACAAGATGGAGAGACTCAGGGCTCTTCATTCTTTGGGCACCTATGCAGTGTATCCCAGTTTCTCATGGTCAGACTTTCTGCCTGACTGAAATCTTATTTAAAAAAAAAAGTATTACCGCTATGTGAATGTCATTCGCCGATAAGGTATCAGCTACCTCTAGCTACCCACCCAATAAAATGAAAGCCTACTCTATCAACCTGTCACACAAGTCTACAAAAAATACACGAGGCTCACTGTTAAACAAAAAGTAATGAAGCAAAAAAACTTACCCCATGGATGGTGCTGACCAGGGTTCAAGCTTTACAATGGTCAGAAATCTGGATCCGAAGACGGCACACACGCAGCTCGATTGGGACTCACAAACTAGGCAAGAAAAGATTTTGAACAAGTCACACAGTCTAGTTTTTTTATACAAAAGGTATACTCAGCTGTGCTGGATGCTATCTATATTTGTATCTTCGTAAGCAAGCCTAAATAAATTATGTTATTGCTTTAATCTTGTTTAAAACCTCATAGTATAGAAAACATTTTGTGATTTATCATTACAGCATAAGTCTTGTGCACTGCAAGGTTGATTGAATAGGTTTCTGATTTTCGTTTTCTTAAAGAGCAACTTCGCTTCATTTTTGTTTTTGAAAAAATAATGCAGTCCCCTTGAGTATTACCTAGGAAGACCACACGTCAAATATTATGACGTAGTTCTGTCTAAATGCTTCTTAAACGGTCCGGCAAACTTTGCAACTCGCCAAGTTGCCGAAATCCGCCGAGTCAAGCGGGCGAATTGTGGCGCAACAGCGCAGTTAAGGCTATGGTGTGGGCATAGCCAAAATTAAGCTAAACGTCATCACCATAGCCCTTTTTTGCTTGTTTTTACTTCTCCGGGCAAGTGTAACGGGTGGCGTCAGCAACGTTTCCTTTCAGCACGCCTGCGCAGCGCACTTCTTGGGAGCCATCCAGCCGCCCCACCGTCGTCGTCACGCCATCTACCGTGTCATAACCACCGTCATCGTCACACCGTTTCTGATTATCGTCTCTCGAACTTTCATCCACAATACGGACACTACGTGCGCAGACTTATGCCACAGTTGTTCAGACGTCGTTGAATGTCGTAGACACCAAAACGTGGTGAAGAGTGTGGTGCAGACGCCACTTTCACCTGGCACACGCCCTCCCCAATCCCGCTTGCCGTTGAGTAGAGAATCACGTGATAGCCACGTTCTTGATTCAGGCAATCGTTCTTGGCGGCCTGAGAGTTTCGATTTCGATTTCGGCTCGTATTTAAAATTAGATTTAAATATATATATATATATATACCATTTTTTGCGAAACAAATGACATAGTGTCTTTTACTAGGACCTTTTAATGCAAAATCACTCATTGTCTCAAAATCTTCAGAAATGAGCGAAGTTGCCCTCTAAGGAGAAACTTGATCTATATCAGGATTGTGCAAGTAAGAAATGTCATGAGCCAAAATAAATTATGTTTAAAACCTTACAATCACCTAGAGCAGCCCACAGGTTTTCTTGCTTCAATGGGCTGCCGCCTTTGACATCGAAAATGTATCGCTTATGGACCATATTCTTGTCAAAAGCACTCATAATTCATTCCAGGCCGATACAAAAGAAAGTGTATTTTTTTTAAACTGGTATGCATTGACTCAGTGATAATTGGGGGTGCAACAGTTATTTTAGAAAATGTGGGGCGAATATTGGATAAAGTCAAGTGGCCAGAGAGTAATTATTTTCGGAAATGGCGGCTAATTCAGAAGTCCTTTCGGTTTCTGAATTTGGTGCCGCTTGCACTCAAGGGGGTTAATACTAGGAGAGAGCATGACGTCATCCCATAGTTTCCGCAAGCAATCCCCTCGTGGAGGAGTGCCCTACCCTAATAATTGTGACCTCCCCGCTTGCGCTGACCAAGTAAGAAGTAGCGAGAGTTTGAAATGCTGCGAGAGAGCCGCCCCCCAGTGCAAAGGGAGCGATGCATTGTCTAATCGCGTTTTTGGGGAGAGTAGAATATCCCTTCCAGTATTTCTTTAGAGTTTACGATGAAAAACTTTAAGGGCTTTGCAATTTATCCTTAACGTACCAATTAATTAATGCTTTAATCACGAGTAACTTTTTCCAACTGGTTAATCGGACAAATTTTGACAAACAAAAAAAAAAGGTAAAAATTACACGCTTTCGCCACGCAGACGTTGAAGAGTACAGCTGCATGAAGGGCAAACTTTAGGTCAAATATTAGCCTAAAGTAAACTGTAGGGACAGGATTTACAACTCTTGACAAGTGCAAAACGTAACACGTGTCCTAACCACTTAAACGCCGTTCAAATGTATGTTTAACACAGCAGAGACTATTGTGAACAATCAAAAGAGCTAGCTCTTGCCAGAGAATAATAAAGAACCTTTTTGCCCCATGCAGCTAAAATAATAATCTGCGAATGTCAGTGTCTTTAAACCAATCTTAACTACACATCAGAGTTGATTCATCATCAAAATTGTATATTGCCCCGCTTATCACATTATCAGCATAGTCAAAAAATATATAAATATTTTGTCTTTTTTAAAACTGTATATAAAAATGAATGTGATCAATTAATTGATTAAAGGGTGGCAATTCATTGGGTTAAAACTCTTAATCGACGCCTACCCCCAATCATTTTGCTATACAAATTTAACAAGACCAATATGGGGGAATGTACTTTGAAGTTGAGAGTTGTACTTTTCTCAGAAAGTACCAGAAAAAAATACCTAAAGTAAAGTACAAGTGCATACTCGGGGACTGTACAGTCGGCAGCAAGTTAGTAGCGCACAAAAGCGCCAGCCGAAATGACTGGCTGCGCCTTCTGATGGCGTGCGGCCTTTCTCAAGACTCACACTTCGAGAATGTATTTTCTTTTGTGTTCGCAGTCATGTCTTTTTCACACGCTTCCTTCCAACATGCACAAGATAACCAGGACCGCCACAAGGTGCCACTTTGTGAGTCATCATGCATCACGTCTGCCTGTGCCACCGTGGTGGGTGACGGTGCTCGGATGCTTCAGATAACATTTTGCGGCACCTTGCACCAATCCCTATTATCTCGTGCGCAACCAACGGAAGCGAGCGGAAACAAAAAATGTCTGCAATCACGATTGGAAGCACATGAGTAAAGCGCGAGTCTTGAGAGCGGCAAAGTGCAATCAGGAGGTGCAGCCAGTCATTTCAACTGGTGCTCCCGTGACCCACAAACTTTTGCGGCTGACTGTTCTTGAAGTAACGTGCAAGTTTTCTAAACCTACTGTAAGTAGTGCTTTAAGTACAATGTACTTCTAACAAAACACTGCGAGTCTCATAACCTTGCCCAGAGAATTACACAATTGCACATTATGTTTTCATTAAACCAGCTAAAAGTTCATTCACCCTTTGAAATTACAGTGGAATTTAAAGATTTAGATTATTCCAAAGCCCAATAGGGAGTATTCCCTGGCTGCCATAGCCGAGTGCGCGCTGACAATGAGGTTCCAAAGTTCTTTTGAAACATGCATTCCACAACATCGAGATTGCCGGTCTTAGCAGACTATGGGAAGAGTCGTCTGCTTCTTGTGAAGCAGACGACGCAGAATCGTCGACGTGTGAAGCAGACGACGTGTGAAGCAGACGACTTCTTGTGAAGCAGACGACGCAGAAGCAGAATCGTCTGCTTCTTGTGAAGGGGTTGCGGTGACGTCAGAACGACGCCGAGTTCTGTTTGGCTTTGATTGGAAGGATAATGGGTAGACCTCAATGCTATTTGCCTTAAGATCTATACCCACTATTTTTTTTTTTTTTAATCAGCTTATAAGAGTTTGGCGTTCTGACATCATTGCAACCCCTGTGCAAGGAGCAGACGAACTTGCGCTCCGCACTCATGTGAGCTCGTTCCGACTCCTGAGCATGCACTTTGAACAGCGCACACAAATATGGCGTCCAGTGAACAACTCCTATTGCTTCAGAAATATTCTCGTTTTATGACTGCTGAATAATCATACACCAAATATTTATTTATTCTGTTCCAACTTTTTGTCTGGGCTGTGCGCTTGATTTGGCGGCTTTTATGTAATTACATTGCCGACTAATCTGAAACATGATGTTGGTGCATTCTGGTTCTGCTCACCTGTCCTAATACCATGGACGTTGCACGATGGGAACGCGACGTGGAATCCAATCTTGCTGAAGGTCGCTGAAGAGAACGCACTTAGTGTGTTGCCTTCGCCTGAAAATGAAATACAATTTATTAGGTTGCCCAGCATGAGCCTTCATTTGCGCTTGGATGCTTAAAAGCTCCGCATCTTTACTCGATGTTGAACTTCCTTTTCTTAACAGTCACGATTTTACTCGCAGCAGCTTAAATGTCCGATGTTAAGTGGAAAAACCAAACCATGCCTATGAGAATTGTCTGGTCCCAGAACGTCGCACATATCACATGTGTTCTCGTAAACAGGCACTCCATTATTTTGCGTTATTCCGATTGTCCCACTTAAAATATTCACGCGATTCAGCTTCTAGTGCAACTGTTACGGTGCCCGCACAACACGACACGCTTCATTGCCAAGAAGCCGTGAATCTGTTCGAAACCAGACTCAAACTTCGAGCGCGTACGACAGCACGCCTCGCAACGACGCCATCTTGGCATCAGCCGTTGCCAGCGCCGTTCCAAGAACTTGCCATGGGTCACGCTGCACTTTAAAAATACAAATCTAAAACCGCAATTTTTTCATAGTTTTATTAATATTAACAAAAAAATTTATGAACTTAATGTTTTACTGAACGTCGTTTTGTCGTTGGGTGACAACGTGCAGCAACGTGCCACAGGTGCCACAGCCGTTATCCGCGTTGGCCAGTTGGCCACACCTACCATTTAAAGATGTCTGCGCCCAGCGGTCCCATGGTCCCAGTTTCCCAGTCGGCACCGAGCTGTTTGATGCTGCGTGCCCAGTGCGCTGGTTGAACGTTCCTCAAATAAAATCAACCTGCAGTCGTTAGGTCGATCCTTATTTAACCGCTCACGTCGCGGATAAAAACTGCTGCCAATGATGAACGTCAATATCGCGAGAAGACTTTCGTCTGTCTGTCGACGGCTGCGTGCGAGCCGGACGTTAGAAGAATGTCAAATGCCGGCGTCGTCCCGCATCTTCTACCGCCAGCACGGTAACTCCAGCAACTACGATCGGAACAGTGGTGAATATGGGCATCAACACAAGTCTGGACGCTTTTCTACAAGTTGGCGAAGTTCTCTCGGAACTGGTCTGGTTGTCGGGACCCTTTCGTTTGCCGGGTACACCACCTGGAAGCGAAGCAACAGCTGTTCCCTTTCACAATCGCTCGTACCCACACTTCAGGCCGCTCAGATTATTGACAGTGACAAGCGTCAGGGAGTGTCTCCTCCGTCAAGGAACTTCAATTTCATCGCCGATGCCGTCGAAAAGACCGCGCCAGCGGTCGTTTTTATCGAGATACTGGGCAGGTGTGTTTTCTAGGTTACACCGAAGTGTTCTATGGGGTTGCTCCGATCGATGTTCCGTATGGAGTGTCGTTCCTGCGTCTACGCGTGTTCGTTTGTTCTATGGGTGTAAGTAACTGGAGCATATACCGAAGTGAAAACAAACATACCGAAACGGACATATCCCTTTAGTGAAGACTTTTATAGCGAAGTTGAAACACCACGGAACAGGCATTTTTAATTGAAGATACTGATATAGCAAACTGATTTTCCTGAAAGTAATATGTAAGCAAAAACCACACACACAAATTTTCTAAATATTATAAGGCCCAAAAATGGCAGAGAAAATCTTTCAGAGTCGTAAAGGAAGTTGCACACGCCGTATAAGGCAGCTTTCAATTTAATGACTTGCCGGACGCTAGCTCCCTTTAAAAATAAAAGTTATGAGACAGTCTCTACAACTCTTATTATGCTAGAACCTCACAAGACAAAGTAATGTTGCCAGAATCGGAGAGATGTGTGATGTGGATGGCTCCTGCAGGCACCCGTTCACCCAGCAGCAGATCACGGTGTCCAATGGCTCAGGCTTCATTGTCAAGTCGGATGGCCTGATCCTGACCAACGCCCACGTGGTGGCAGACGGGAGGCTGGTCACGGTCAAGTTGCAGAACGGCCAGGAGTACAAGGGAAAGGTCGAGTCGGTCGACCTCCGCTCCGATCTGGCGACAGTACGCATTGTCGCGGTGAGTTCTTGAGACGGCGGTGAACGCGACGGCACTACGGTGCCCACAACGCATCTCCGTCTGCCACCTTCACCGTGTTCTAGAAAGTGCTTCCTCGATTTTCGCCTGGTAACGTTGTAGATTGTTGGTTGTCACCGGCCGCGTTCTTGGCGGTTTCACAGCAGCCGTGGTGAATGTGCCATGATGCCAGTTTTGCTGCGGGTCGCTCTTCGGCTTGACACTCCACAGAAGGTTTAGCAGCCAGGAGTTGGGACTATGCAGTGATGACAATGCTCATGTTCGCTCTTACTTTTTGCCAGTAATTTTAGCACCAACCCGCCAGGATTGCGGCAACTGACGGCGTGGCACTCTGGCTTTTGGGACGTCGTTTTTTGCCACTGCGGGATGACTTTTGACGTACGGTAGGGATATAGGACTCTAAACATGCCGATCAAATATGAGTTTCAGGCGCCGTAATGGCACCGAAGGTGGAGGTCTGCAATTTTCGCTGTTAGAAAGCATGAAGGTAAGGTTAGATCACTTGTGGAAGAGCAAACAAGGAAACCTAGATCCAGTATGCTGAGATCCTCTGTTACAAAGGGGTTGGTCCCAAATCCAGTTCGGTCCAAGTTGCTGGCCTGGTGTCACACATCTAGCTCTCGGTTTAGCTTTCTTTTTTGCTTTCTGGGTTTTTTTTTTTGGTAGCGTCGAGGAAAGGGGATTTTACGGTTCCCTTCCTCGAGCAAGGCGTTTCTGCGTTTCGGCGTGCAGTTACTTATTCTGAATTTCTCGGTAAATTTAGCTCGCATGGACTTCACTGTGGCTGCTGTTGCCTATGATTATCCGCACCCTGGTAAAGTTGGGTGTGGAAACAGAAGCAAAACATGCAGAACAGCTATTTCAGGAGTATTCAAAGGCTTTCTGACAAAATGTCCTTGGAGTGCTTTTTACTCGTGTGAGCTAATGATGCAGAGCTTGGAGTATTTAAGAAGCACCATCATATCTCGAGAGACGCCCCACTCCGTAATATAAGCCACCTCTATTTTTGGCATGATTTCCTATCAAAAACACCAAAAGAAGCTTATTTTTAGTAACAGCAGGGCTCTGGCCAATGGTGACCTCGGCAGGAATCGTGTTACTTGGCCAAGGTGGGAGATGAGCGAAAACTGCTGACTGGGAAGAACTGTCATCTTTGGTGGACCAGAATGAACTATGTGGCTTGGTGGATAAATGAAGCAAAACATAAATAGCTCTCAAACAAGGACAAGTCGAAGAAGTAACCACTACTAAACGTCCAATCACAAGTTTCACAGGTCACAGAATCTAAAACCAGCATATATATTTTTTCTACTTTTTTTTTTATTGCTCACTAAAGTTAGCCCACTCCTCCTTTTCACCCGATGCACATTTGATTTTAGGTGGGCTATCTCTCAGGATATTACAGTAGTAAGTTGTCTTAAACACCTCTTCATTAATATTAAAAAAATATAATTCTTAAAACAAAATCTTTATGACTACCATACCAACTAAATTATGAAGATTTAAAGCAAATTAGAATGCATTTTTGCAAGGAACGAGACTATTAAAGCGACTCCCGAAATCTCCCCCGTCTCATTCCTCCGCCATTGTCCTCTGGCTTCTCACTCACTGGGTTTACATCTATTATCATTGTGTTCATGTAACACTTTGTACTCATTCAATGTTTTTACACTTATCCTTCAGCCTTCTATTTGAAGAAATCTTGTGCATGGTATGATGCATATAACAATAGGCAGGCCTTGTGTAAAAACTGAGTGGAAACCTCAGACCTCCCCACAAAATGTGTGAAGACATAAAAACTCGGTGCTGATAAGTATTGTCAGCCTTTTAGAAATAGCTGGTGCATGTACATCACAATATGTGTAGTACCTATAGACCAGTGTCTGCTCTGTCCCATGGGCGCCGCCATGTTTGCTTATGCTGACGTCATGACACAGAAGGGGGGCTGCGTTTTTTAAAAGACTCAGTTTTTTTTAGAAACCTTTGCCCATATCGTATACGTCGTTTCAGCCTAGGTCCGAGCACAGCCGATGTTATGAGCCGAAGGGCCAATCAAACAGCGAAAGAGGCACAACGTCATGGTGTGCTCTCTGCAGTTGATAGGAAGAGCCGGTATTCGACGTCTCTCTTTGCGTGCTCCTCCGCCGGCTAGTCCTATCAAGCGCAGCGAGCAGGCCATGACATTGCGATTTTTGCGCTGTTTGATTGGCCCTTCGGCTCATAGCATCGTCCGCGCTCGGACATAAGGTGAAACGAAGTATAGTGCAAGAACGTAAGAAATGCACAGTCACGAAGCTCCAAGAACCACACCGACACCAAGTGTGTTGTAAAAAGCAAAAATATTGTTTTATGCGCAGCCCCCCTCTTTACGAGAGCCTGCGTGTGAGATTATTAGTTCCCATTTCTATCGCTGGGAGCTAGGATATCGGACACTGGTCTATATGTTGCTATGAATGCTAGTAAGAGACTGGGTGTGTTCTTTTGAGTGGAAGTTTAAAAAAGAAATGATAGCTTATCCAGTTGACAGCACAGCAAGTTAGTCAACATCCTTTGGTGACACTGAATTAGTACTAGCTTGAACTTTTGGGCAACAAAGAACATTTGCTTACAAATTTTAAAGCGAGAGCATCAAGGAGCATATGTCACAGAAAAGCCGGCGTCAGTGGCATGCACTAAAATCCAGGATTGGTTGATAGGGTCATGATGTCACAGCCGCATGACCTCGCGCAGGAATTTCAAACAACCCACAACACTCACGTGAAATGTGACGTTACGCTCGGAATGAAAGTGATTAAAAAAACATGACATGTATTGAGGATTAAAGGTCGCCGCATGACTCAAATGATTTCACTTAATAATGTAAATCATATGCATTACAGAAAAATTTGAAGAATTTTAGGCAGGATTTTAAGCCACACAAGGCACGCTTGCATGGCTTGGGAACGAGCGGGAGTTTATATGTTTTGCTATTGTATTCCACTCAAAAAAGGCGAAGCTTAAGCATCCTCTAAGTTTTTTTTATGATGGATGAAGCAGTTTGAGCAAGCTCCACAAAGCTCTCACCTGAACATAGAAGGTATGTTTCTAGAAATCAGGTGGGTGCGTGCAGCAGCTTGCTGGACATTTTACGATAAGCATCACTTCGCTTAAAGTATTCTCAAAATTACAGTATTTCACGTTGATTGCTTACCCTTGTCTTTTGGGTTTGCTAGTATTTTGGTAATTACACAGATAGATGCCTAAAGTCTTCATTGATATTCACTAAACCTCTTCTTTTACCTGATCAGGCCCGTTACTGAAATAGACAATTATGCAGCCATTTTTACGCATCTGGTTTTTGAATTTTTGAGCACTATACTGCTCGTCCAAATTACTTTTTTTTTAACACAATATATCACCTTAATTTCATGAGAATCATTCGTCACGGACATTGTAAGTGTCGCAACAGCTATTCTACCCTCCTGAACATTTCCAACTGTTCTTTAGATGCGCATTCCCACATACATATACCACATTTGGCCAAACTTCAAACCTACACCAGCTAGACCACCTGAATTCCGGCATTGGTGCTCGGCTCCTTGTGCAGAAAGACCTGCCAACGTTGCCACTGTCACGCACAAAGGACCTGCGACCGGGAGAATGGGTGGTTGCCATGGGCAGTCCCCTGGCCCTGAACAACACCATCACGGCGGGAGTCATCAGCTCACTGCACAGGTCCAGCAAGGAACTGGGGATCCAGAACGAGATGGACTACATCCAGACAGACGCGGCCATCAACTTTGGCAATTCCGGGGGACCCCTCATCAATCTCGTGAGTGGGCTTCTGCCCTTGCCGGCTCTCGCTAGCTAAACGGGGCACCGTGTCCAAAACACGTCTTCGACTGATGCATTTAGTCTCCTGTACTGCCCATGCATTGAACGCGGTCCCAAAGTGGCAACAAATTATGTCGCTGGAGCCGGCGTGTGGTGCCGTCGGATGTCGCTGTCCTGTAGGTTGTTTGTGGAAGTTTCAGAACAGACGTCGGCCATATCTGCGTCCGCTGCTATGTGACCACCAGGATCGCAGCAAACAACGGCACGAGGCAAGTTTGATGCCATCAGGCAGAAATCGAGGGAAAGCAAATGAGGAAGCGGCGGTGACACCAGTCGGAGACATGTTCAGACGCCTGGAAACAGGCTCAATTCCGCCGTGCTGCGACAACTGCTCGCACGTTGAGGCATGTTATCCTCTTCAAAGGTGTATCCCGCTTGTTTGATGACAGTTCTAAATACTAATTCGGTGTGAATTAAATCTTGAGACGGGGGGGGAGGGGCAAATTTTGTTTTGTTTTGTTTGAGGAGTGCTGGTCAAAGCAGCGTTTTCAGCCCTCTAGGAGGGATGGAGTATATGGAGTAACTTAGGAGATATACTTACTTCATGTTGGCTAAATTGTATGAATGCAGCAGGATTAATACCCGTGTCACACGGGCAACTTGAATGCCATTTACAACGAATGACATTTGAGCAGACGGCCAATCAGCGCGCAACACTCCGGGCGTGGCGCATTCCACACGCGACAGATTGCGAGCTGATTCGCCGATTGCACAAATGTCATTCTTTGTAAATGGCATTCGAGTTGCCCATGTGGCACGGGTATTATTTTGTCTTGATCAGAGGTCCAAAACTGTTGAGAAAAACAACAATTTTAAGACTATGTGCCTTTTTGTGTAGTATTAACAACTTAGGTAACAAAACAAACTTCTGTAAGAACTGAATTACACTGTGTGCACTATACAGCAATTCCATTTGTAATGATCTAAGCTATCTTTGGCAATAGCTATTTTTCAAAAGCCACATGCACTTCATGTCGGGTAGGCTTTACTGAGTAGACGAGTGTTTGTCCTTTGGGTGCCCTCTAAAGTCTTCTTTTTTACTCATATTTATGCCAGGATGGAAAAGTAATTGGAATCAACACCATGAAGGTGACATCAGGAATCTCATTTGCCATCCCTGCCGATTATGCACTGGACTTTCTGGAAGCTTCTGCGAAGAAATTGAGTAAGTTGGTTTTGTCTTCCCACCACAACAGCCGTGAAACTAATGATTGTCACACAAAAAAACCTTGCACATCTACTCCTTCACAGCAAGTGATTCATCAAAGTCATAAACTGAAGTGGTGTCACTACGGCTTATTTCTATTGGTAGAAGGTCCGTTTTTAGTACCTTTATACACAAACTCAGCTCTCTTACATCACAGCGTGGTGGTAGTGTGTCGGGCGCACTTCCGATCGGGGCTGTGGGCAGAAGTCACCATGCAGGACGTGCATTCCTGGGTTACTTTGGAAGAAACCAGACAGAAACCTGCCTTCTCATTAAAACACCTTGACTGAGGCTGCACCAAAAGAGTCAGGAAAGATCTGAAGGTTATTTTTTATGTGTTTCCTGCCTGCTCGGTTCATCCGGGAACGTGGATAGGGGCCGTGAAAAAGGAAAACCAGATGCCATCGGACAACGATTGCTTGTGCAGGAAGCACTTTGGGTTGAATTTACAGATGCTTGTGGTCGTCAGATTTATTTGTTTTGTTCCAACATGAACGTGGGAAAATCGCCAAGTTGTACAGACCACCTGCTGATTACGTTCAGTGCGTCTTCAAGTTCAAGCGGCCATCTGATTGTTTGAACTGTCGTCTGCTCTCTCAAACGTCTCTGCTTGTTGTTGTCTGCTCGTTCAAACGACAGCGGCTCGTAGACCAAACTTTGACACACTAATTGCGATAAGAAGTGCAGGCCTCAGAAGTCTTTTAAGTTTGAAGGTTGGTTGGGATAACTAGGCTCAGTGTAAACAATAGATACAAGGAGATGTTGAGAATTGTTACCAGTGGCCATCACCGACTTGTTACGCCTGATTCACTTGGTCCGATTCTGCTTGCGATTTTTAGTATCGACTTCGACCATCTAAGCTACGGTTCATGCTTTTGCAGCCTGAGCAATGTCGCAACTAAAAATAGCGATCAGAATCCCATCATGCGAATCAGGCTTTAGCGCCCATTCAGCAATGTCCTCGCAGAATAAATCTCTGCATGTCACATTATTCAGTGAAGTTTTGCAGTGTAACGACCCTCGTTAATTTTGCTGAGGCTGCTAAAGTAGTCATACAGTAGCAGGAAGACTTATAATAAACAATTTCCACGCTAAAAAAAAGCACGGGGACTCGTACCAAAGTCGACAACATCGCATTCCGGTGGTATGTTTATGGGCGACGGCACGCTTCATGCCCACACTTCATCACGCATGCGCAGCACCAGTGGTGTCCTCTATGGGCGCTCCGGTTTGTTTGTAAACATGAGTTGGTCTGTATTCCAGAATAAAATGGGCTACTTACTGGGAGACCTTATGAAGACATAAAAAAAGATCGATAGTAAACTCCCATTAATTCAAACTCCGGAAATCCACAAATTTGTTTGAATTATCAGAAGCTTGAATTATCAGAAATTTATCTAAATATGATGCAAGATAAAATTATAATTTGCCATATGTATGGGTACACATACAAAGCAGATATTTGATGATTTCCTCTACATAGGCCTACTGATCATAAGCAGGTATGCCACACATGAAACATTTGGGAAATGTATGATATAAGTTTATTTATCCTTCAAAAATATTATTTATCATGAACTGTTAGACAGCACATGACAACTCGAAACAAAATTATGTTTGTTTATCAGGCCAAGAAGTTGTCTAATGTGAACTACTAATGAGCAATGAGAACGGGCACCATGTCGCCGTCTTCATAGAAACTTGCGCAGACGCTGTGACATTGACCCATGCCATGCCGCCACAGTGTCCGCGCAAGTTGCTGTGAAAATTTCTTTGTGGTGCCTGTTCTCATAGCTCACGTGTGCCCTGCTTCGAAGCCGTATATTGAGAGAGTTTGGTCAATGGGAGGAACGGGCAGAGCCAGGGCCTGCACCAGATGCCAAAAGTGAGATGGACATGCTCTCTTGGCATACCGGAAGTCCAAAATAATCCCCTAGCGGTGGTGGTAGCAAGAAACAGTTTGAATAAGTGTGTAAGAGTTAAACGTAGTAACTATTTATGGTTGAAAATATGGTGTGTGTGATATTTTGATTACGATCATGCAAAAAGATATAAGAAACGAATGTGCCTCTCAAACTCTCTTTTGTTCGGACGGAGTTTGACCGCTCGGACGGCAGATGTTTGAACCTCGGCACCTGACGTACGGATTACGTCGGTCTCTGCTAGTCGCGCACGCTATTTATAACTTTTATATCTTTTAATATTTTCCATCATTATTTTGCATGACCGTGATCGAAACATCACATAAACCATATTTTCAGTCTCCGAGAATTACTACTCTGATGCACTTAGTATTAATTTTAATTCTTGTGACCATTGCCAGGGTATTATTCGCGGCTTCTGGTTGGCCACATTTGAATTCGTGAAGACTCCCTGAAGATCTCTGTGGTTATTTTTCAGCACATAAAATAAAGATCATTTGAATTGTGCAGATATTTTAATTTTCGTATCGCAGTCTCGAACAATACGCTATTCAATATTTGCTTGGAGATGAACTGCAATATTCATACATTTCGAAGTATTGATTGCGGCGGGTTAGTCCCTTGAGTGCACTTCTTCCCAAGCACCGATGCGCTGCGGAGAAGCAGCCTGGGCCAAGTAGCACAAATTGTTTTCTGGTTTGGGCTGGGCCCGGTCCGGACAACACGGATTGTTTTCGGGCCCGGGCTGGACTCGCGCAATGGTGTAGCACACTTTCTAGAACGTTAAGAAGGAAATGCTAATGCATTGATCGTTTAGATTTGAAAGAAACGAAAAAGCCTGAATGTGAACTCGCTACGATGCCACTAAAAACAATCTTGGAAATATAGAAAGTTGTCGTGGACAAAGAAAGCCCCCAAGAAGATACAGAGAATCCTGGAGATTCCATTAGCATAGTGGGCAGCTGCCAGCAGGCAAGAAATCAAGCACAATTTGGTCACAGGGGACAGAACGATTGTCTTTCCCTTTCCTTTTCGAACTCTTGAAGAAAAATAATGCCCCCTGGCTACGAAAAATAAGCTATGTCTTTTATATTTGTGGGAGCTTTTGAGTGTTCACCTTGCGACTGCGATATGACAGTGTCTTTCTTGCAAATTAGTAAATTAATTAAATGCACCAGCACGTTCTCAGGGCAGCTTTGAATTTAAGGGATGAGGTACTTCTGTACCTCTCCCTGGGCCGGGCCCTGTACGGGCCTGATCAGGTAGGCATTCCACCGGGCCGGGTCCGGTAAGACTAAGAGTCAACAAGCCCGGGTCACAGCCGGGCCTCGAAAAGCAGGCCCAAGCAGTGCTCTGGGCGTTATCACTGAGCTATGCCACAGCGTTAATAACCCGCTGTATACTTTGGGTTTCTGTAGTATCAGATGCTGACTGCACGCGCTCTCTGGAAAAATACAGAGGAATAGTCGATAACAAAATGCCGTCGTAGCTCGGTCAATGCCAGGAGCTCGTGCCGAAAGACGTGCATTCATGCGCTCTGGAAAAATAAAAGAAATAAAAGCATTTAGAACAAAATGGTCAGACGTTAATTTTTGTTCCGAACGTATTTGTTCTTGCGCCCCGGTGTGTGAACACGACGTCGATTCCCAACGACTTCACCATCACGTGTCGCAGCTATCGCTGTGACTGAACTGTAGACTAACACTAGACTGCTTAACTTTTTACTGTCTTGTTTAGTAAACATCCAAAGTCATTGCCCTTAGGGGTAGCTAGTTGTAGGTTGATTTTCTTGCATTGAGGAACAGGTACCAGAGGAATAAATTTTATTATTTACAGTAACTGAATAAAATTTTCAGTTTTTAGGGCTTGATCTCTTTGTTTTATGAATCTGGTGTTAGTTTTAATATATAGCATTTTTTTAACGTTTTTTACACTCATCTTTATGCTGTTCTAGGTTGCTGGGAGTTCTTCAAATGCATATTTTTATAATTTCAGTCATATCTGGTCCTTAATATTTTTATACATAAAATATGAATAATCAAAGATAATAAAACATTATAAAAACAAAATTACATTTTTGGAAAAATATTGCCGTTTTTTGACCCACTTCTTCTCTTGAACCCCTATTTTTGACAAGGTTCAAATTAATAAAGCATCATTTGGCTTCACCAAGATGAAGTCAGTTTAATTTTCAAGGCCCTTTTTTCGTTTCACTTGCTCAGGTTGCCCACAGTAAAAGAATGTGGGTACCAATGGGTAATGTGGGCATACATTTGTTGGTCTTTTTTTTGGGTATTGATAGTAGTTAAGGGTCATTCCAAAACAAAACGTTTGAGAACTCGCATTGTAACATTGTTGAAGGTGAACAAATAAACACAGGGACAGACAAGACGACATGACTTTCAACACATTGGGTGTTTATTTGAAGCCAGCGTAGAGCGAAATATCTAGAGGGAGAAAAATGGAGAGGTTGGGAATGCAAAAGCAAATGAGAGAGATGAATGAAAGAGAAACTTGCTCACGGCTAGTTGCAAGTAGGAAAGGCGAAGTCGCCTGATTACTGTCGATTTCCCCAGCTACTTCACTGTTTTTACGAACTTCACAAGCACTTCTATTTGAGCCCTCAAGTAAAAATGCTTTGTCTGGGAGCAGAGGAGGACCCCTCATCTGCCACGTCGGAGCGCTGGTACCTGGGCATCACGATGCTGACCCTGACACCCAGCCTCATCCAGGAGCTGCAGGAGAGGGACCCCATGTTCCCCAACGTCTCGAGCGGCGTCCTCGTCTGGAGGGTCGTCCTGGGATCGCCCGCCAACTTGTGAGCCTCGCCATTTGCTATACTGGTATACAAGTTAAGAATGTGCCAGAAGCTCCTCTCACGGCTTGATTACCGCCAGCCAGGGTTCCTCCGCAATGCACAAATAGTCCGCTACTGAGACGCACGTCTCACTGACGTCTGTGAAGATTATTGAATGGTACTCACCCGCAAAAAGGACAAGACAAACTGGACAGAGCAAAGACACCTTTGTTTGTGTTTTTGTCAACGTCTTTTTCTTCCACAAGCCAACACATCACATAACTCGTCACGGCTCCTTTTTTACGGGTTGGTTCATGGAGGGATTAGATGGCGTGGCTGGTATAGGGCGACATATATTTGCTGCATTCTTAATTTGTATCTGACTATAGTGGTACTACTTTTAGGGTTGCTTTGTACTAAGGAATTTAGGGGAAACAGCGAAGTTTAATCTTTTCTCGGGTTGTTCTTTCGTTTGTCTTTGGTTTTCATACAACATTACGGATTGTGTATTACCCACACGTATGTGCCATCATTTCAGGTTTTGATGTGACCTTGAACTGGCCGTTCATTGAAAGAAAGTAGTGCACGGTCATTTTTTGGGCTTGCCCTTTGATTCTCTAGCGGCGTGTGCCACAAAAAGACTCATTAATATGTGTAGAAATGTTTGTAATGCCCGGCGACCACAATGTCACTCTGTCAAAACCTTGGTAAAGGGGGTGGCCACAAACGGGCTTTCCCAACAGCAACCCGTAAAACTTCCTTTACAGGGCCGGCCTTCAACCTGGTGACGTCATCACGAGGATTGGCGGGAAGGAGGCAAGGTCCTCACAGGACATTTACAGGGCTTTGGAGGCATGGAAGCCGGTGGAAATCGAAGTGATCCACAGGGGCAGCAAAAAGACGGTCACTGCTCAGCCCTGACATGTGGTCACGGCCACCACTAGGACGTACGACAAAACTACTAGCTCCTGTGCCTGTACATAGTTGGTGGACATTGCAAGGGGAAATAAAGATATATTGCAGTTGCTAAGTAATATTATGTTGAAGTTGGTCCGTACCACTTGGCAAACTGAACGACGATAGGACATCTAACAAAGCATTGTCATTATCTTTTTATTGATTTCGCTGCTGATGAAGTTCATAACGAGGGAAAAAATGGTTTTAAAACATTTTTTTGTTCCGATCACTGCGCTCACAATGTGTGTTTGTTATGTCGAATCAGTTTCATATCAAGGCTGTTTACAAACATGTTTTAAAGTTTTTCTTGTTTTCTCCAAGTTATTTTTGTTGCAACAACACAAATCTAAAACCATAATAGTTTTGATGCGTGCACTGCTGTATGTAGAACATGCAGACATATTTTGTGCCATAGTTTTTGATGTGCAAAAATATTTTTTTATAAAAATATTTTTTTTTAAACTGATAAAAAAATATTTTATATTTGTACTTAGCATCCAGAATTACAGCAGGTGTAAGAATTTTATATAGATGAATGAGACATGACATAAATGCACAATACAATAAAAAAGCAATGTTCCTGACCTTATTCGTTTGAATACACAAATTTCTTTTAGATCTGTATATAGATGTTCTCTATCTGATCGTAATGTAGAAAACCGAGGACTGTGGTAAAAGCAAGGAAACAAAGTCGAAGAAGAAAGACAAGGAAAAGAATGTCTCAAAGACGTTCTTTTCCCCTGTCTTTCTTCTTCGACTCCATTTCCTTGCTTTTACTACAGTCTCGGTTTTTCTACATTATGATCAACATCCACCAGCTCGCCTGCGCACTCAGTTTTTTCTCTATCTGCCTTTTATTGTCCAGTTAGTCGTAAGTGCAAATCACGAATGTTATGGAACCCATTTTTAGTTTGTATGCATAATTCTTTTGCAAGGCAGAAGAGCCACCATTTTCCAAACGACTAAGCTTTTGGGGTATAAACTGCACAAGCAACTGATCTGGGCCCCCTATTGAACCAGTCCCTCCATGGTGGAAGTATGTGCTTCCTCCAAAAGCTCTCAAACTAGCAGTTTGAAAAACGGTGGATTAGATATACTAGGTACATGCATCCATCATAATTTACTGAACCACCGCAAACTCACACATATATTTCAAGTGGCTTCAGGCTGTGCTGTGCACGGATAACATGGACAATGAAATAATGGTATGTTTAAAAAGTTTTTATTTGATTCTTCCAGCAAAATATCTATATGCGCAAGACACATTCTTATACATAATATTTTTATTTATAAGGGACTAGATGCAAAAGCTTAAGTGTTTAAAATGACTATAAAACATACCCAATGAGATCTCAGACAACCATTCCAAAGATTGTTCCATGGAAGGCATTTAAGTTGCCGCTGGAGCCATAGCACGTGCTCTTGAAAGGAGCACAATAGCACTGTATTAGAGGTGAAAGTTTTGGTAGTTGTACATGCCGATTAGAAACAGTGCGAAAGGCAAGGACAAAAGAGGAACATGCACGACAGGACGAACACTGGCTAAAAGCTATTAATTTTCTACTTACAAAAAACAAGAAATAAAACAAACAGCGCACCATACATGCACACGTGCATCTTCCACCCATGATATGTGCACACTACGGCAAGCGCTGGCACTTCATTAAATGTGCGATACATTGTTTGTTTTATTTATTTTCTACAAGCAAAAAAAAAAATGAATAGTTGTGAGTCAGCGTTTGTCCTGTTGTATATGTTCCTCTTTTGCACTGTTTCTGATCACCACATACACAATAGCAGAAATAAGAGCCCGATTTGTCAGTGGCAAATGTGCCAAATGCTTCAAACGTATATCGAAGTAATGTTCACACAGAATTTCCATCAACCATTCTTTCGGCGTGAAATCGGTCCCCACACACTTGTCTTAATTCAGGGGCTGCTAGCAACCGGAATATGGAGGCTTTATGAAGGAGCGCATGATGGAAACAACTGTATAACCAGCACTGACCTTTCGAGAGCATATGCGGTGTCTCTAGCTACCACCGCAGTCCAAGCAGAATGAAAGCAAGAAGCTACACTCTATCTCGCTAGTTGCACATATGCTGCAAAAGCCATGGGTCAGAGAGAGCGGAAAGCCGCTTTTGTGTAGATTTTTAATGACTGGCTAATCTCCGAGAGAGAGAAGCAACACGGGAATGCATATACAAAGAGGGTCCAAGAAAGAAAGCAGTTCCTTGTTCCCTTCCTCCAAAAGCTATTGTTACACTCCAGCCCCTATAACTTTGGTAACATTGTGCACAAATAGCGAGATAGGGTAGAAGTTGAACACATTGAATGAGAGACTGTAACAGAAAGAGGACAACCAACAACCTTAGTGAGGCCCAACTCCCAACAATGTTCTTGCCACCACTAACGTAAGCGAAGGTTTAAGCTGTCCACCTCTCAGCAGCATTGCAATCCAATGTTGCTCATAGATTTATACTCATTTTTAGGAAAAGAACCACAAAACAAAAAGCTCGGCTCGTCGTGGAGCAACACGAATTCCTCCTTTTACATGGGAAATTAAGATACTTGTGTGTGCGTGCATTTAAGATCACTTAATGGTTATTTCATCAAAACGTATATTTCAATTAAACGTAAAAACTAGTGTTTTTTTTTCTGTGACAACCAAATCTTAAAGAACACGCACGATGAGCAAAATTTGCTTGCGGTGGGTGTTAAACAACATGGCCACCAAACAGGCTCATCCAAGGGCACAATTGCCCACACCCATAACCTGTTAAGTGCTCAACAGCAAGGTAGTTTAAATGCATAACATGATACAGCATAGTTAGTAAATGCCAACTCTCCGTTTTTGCCATCACTGGCCGTACCAGAGGCCCATGTTTTACTAAGGCACAAGTGATTTAGTTAAGTATGAGAGCGAGACACACCAAGAGAACAAACACCATGCCTGCACTTCTTCATCTGTCACTCGCACGGGGCTGCGACAGACACTACACATTATTACCCATGTAAGCACATTTTGAAACATAGATTTGACGATAGTCGCTCGGTTGCAAGAAACGCACTGTACGTCTGTGGTTCTCCCCTTCAAGATGAAAGCAAGTTACACATGGCCGCAAGGAAAATCAACTGGAATGTCTAGAACCAAAAAACAAACATAGAGCAACAAAATCCTCATGATGGAGCTTACTTTGTATAAATAGAGATTTAGACAAATACTTGTGGGATATAGATAAACTCTATGAGCTGGAATCAGCTACAGTAATGCTTTCCAAACTGCCACCCTGCAAACCATCAAGAGGATAAAAAGAGTATATTGTTGCAACCCACCCTCTGCCGTGCCCCCCCCCCCCCTCCCCTCCCCACACACTTGGCTGGCTTTTCGCGATACCACAAGATTTTTTGATTTCAGTACATGAAGAGTAGCAGTACCTGAAATTAACACTGAAATTTTACTTGACAGTCAATATAGTCAAAGCGAATCAGGTTGCCTAGAAACCATCGAAAAAAACATGCATGCCATCAGGAAGGACTGTCCCTGATGTCTAAGGTGAGCTTGTTTGTTAGAGCACAGTTTCTCCAAGCGAGAGCAAAGTGGGGACATCGCAACCCTTGGTTTTGACTCGACGTTGAGCTGCGACCTGCACTTTGTTTTTATCATCGCCACTACCAAATGCCCAATTCGATTTTTTTTTTTTGAGTTGTTAAGTGTTTTTTATTGAAACTTTTGTGACCTCCTTGCAGTTGCAAACCACAGTTTGGGAAACACTGAACTACAACGAGGAACCAAAATACCACCACGAAAAAGTCTTTAACAGTTCTTCTATGACATAATAATTTCCTACTGGTAGCAAAAAAATTCAAAACCGCTTTTATCGGCTTCACAACTTCCAAAAAGCGAACATCCTTTTGTCAAGATAAGAAGCATAAGTGGCATGAAAAAAGCAGAACAGCTGCTTTGGTAGTGCTAGTTGAGTGAGCGACCACCGTCACACAATACTGTTTGGGGCAAAGATGATTCTCAACCTCACACACAAAAAAGTAGGAACCAAGAAACTGTCATCTCCACGTCAGCAGAATGCCCCAAAAGGAAAATCAGAGAATGGAGCACTTCAGCTGCCCTTTCAGCAGGACCTTCAGGACAACACTTTCATCTGGCATTTCTCTAGATCCAGCACTTCCCTTGGAAATTCTTTAGATCACTGCATTTATCCAGACATTTCTCTATGTGCTTCTTTAGATTCATCTGGCACTTCCTTCGGTGTTTCCCTAGTCCCAGCGCTTCCCTAAACATTTCTCTAGATCCCGGCATTTCCCTAAATGTTTCTTTATATGCCTCCCTAGATCCTTCTGGCATTTCCCTTGGTGTTTCTTAAAATCCAGCACTTCCCAATATATTTCCCTAGATCTCATCTTTTCCCTAGATGTTTCTCTACATTCATCCGGCGTTTCCCCAGAGGCATTAAGACGGTGCATAAGGAAAGGCCAGCATATCTCTCCGGCTACGTGAAGGGAGGGTCAACCCTTTGGCTCAAGGTGGCGTCATAGGTCCTCTGCCACCAGCAGCTGCGCTTGCTCCTCGGGGCGGCTCCAGGCAAGGGCCACTTCCCGGATCTGTTTTCTGCCGCGGCCCTTCCACAACTGGAAGCCCAGGGCCGTCAAAGCGACCAGAGTCGTCGCCGACAGCACCCCCAGTGCCACTGCACGAACCGCACTGGCAATTACCCACACTTGCAGGGAAGCCCTGCCACTTAAGGGCATATATTCACAATGCTGCATGCACCAATACGCAGCTCAACGGAAACGCTTTTAAAGTTGGTAACACGGTCTGAGGGACTGACTATGAAAAAAGCAAGCCATTGCAAGCAGAGGAGTGATGTTCGGGGTGCAGGGAAATCGGCATGGAGACAATCAAAACAATTACAGGACTTTTTAAAAACAGTAGCATTTTTTTTCATCCTAGGGGAGTCGGTGCACGGTGCCAATTCTCTTCCCCAATATACGTACAAACATTATTTTTAGAAAATAAAGCATGTGAAAACAAGCTGCTATCAGAGCTCTAAAGTGACGAATCATAGAGTAACTAAATACAGTTAATATTTGTGATATTAATATTAGGGGTATGAATATCACTTTTTTTTTGTTGTGAATCGATTATGATTATTAAATTCTGACCAAGAATCAAATTAAAATTTGAATAATTTGGATTGAGCATAAATACTTAAAGAAATCACAGCTGGAACGTTTTCCCAAAAGCATACCTATCAAAAAAAAAAGTTTTACTTTATGATAAGCTTTTAATCACTGTATTATCTAGAAAAGACCCCGAGGAGCTGCATAAACATGAACATGGCAAGCCAAGCAATGACTACCTTTTTTATTTGAAATAATTTAAATCTTCTATTTATAGGCCCCATATTTAGTTTTTATTTGAAAAAAAGCTTGAGGTTTTCTTTTCTGGCACTGTCATTTATAAATCAGGGGTTGAGTACAATAAAAACAAAGGAAGACTGCTCTACAATTGTGAGTGAAATTTCCAAGGCCATCAAGTCAGCCGTTTCTCCTAACATGTCAGCACATAACAGTGAAGCTTGACGTGCACGCTGGGCAAAGTGGTGAAGCCTGATGTCAAAGCACTGTTGCAAAGCGGCAAAGCTTCATGCAAGAAACTGGAGAATTCTGAAGACATTAATAATAAATTTAAAATATTCTAAGAGCCTGAAGACTAACAGTAAAAGTGTGTGGCAAATTGAATCGAATAACGAACATTACTCACAAATTGTTTGAAGTTTCGAATATTTGTACACATCTAATTATGATTATATACATAGCTGCGTTTCTTCATGCATGCATCCATGCGAGGGCACTCGTGTTCTGTATTGCGAAGTTAGCAATGATGATGACAAAACATTTTACAATCTGATTTAAATCCAGTGCTTGTCCCATCTTCACCTTCCTTGTCTTTGCTATTTGTGCGCTGTTTCCAATTGTAATACAGTAGACCATGACTGATACGTTTTTGGTTAATAATTTTCCTGACTCTTACATTAACAAACTTAGGTCTCGGTGAACACCACAGGAGTTCATTGTTAATTTAATTTGTTACATTTTAATAACAGATTTTCTAAGCTGTTACGTTAACAAACAGGTGTGACCTTTGTTGTATTTGCCCTCTGAAACGACATGTTCGGCTGACCGGCCGCTGCTACCCTCCTCCTTTTGCTCTACTTCTCCACTTTTTAAACACTTTGCCTTTCTGACCTTGGACTTTGCTTGAAAGTGGTTCAGGCTTTTGTGATAGCCCAAGCATCTTTCTATCTTTCTTTTCTCTGGCATGCATGCAAACACACTTCCGCTGTGCTCAGTTCCCCCAGTTCCACTAGTCTGATTTCACGTGGAGTTTCTAACTGTGCTCAGTTCAAGGCATGCCCAAGTCAAGCTTCCCAGATACATGCCGGTGCATGCGTCTAGCTTCACTACTTCACACCAGTGTGCTAGGAGCAGCGGTTGATGCAAAGGAGCAGCTGGGTTAAGTTGATGGGCTGGGACATTTTGTTCCCTCTTCTAAGTCAACATTCTTTTGTCACGACAATACTAGATCGACCGCTAATTTTTTAGAACAGATCCAAAAAAAAAAGTGCCAGCCTATATTTGAATAAATGTGGTAGTTCTCCAAAGATGCGATAAAAGTCCAAATGAAAAAACTTGCTGTGGGAGATCTGCTTCTCTAACCACTATCAATTTGCGGTGAGAAGCTCACTAGGGGCACTTCTGTTTCCTTCACTATGGGTAGTGCACGTGCTAGGCACGCAGTTATTTTTTAATTTTCCTAGTGCATAAAAGCTTGGCATTGCACGTGCTTGCACCAGCAGAAGAAGTTGAAGTATCTTCACTCTAGGTTGGGAAAAAATTCCACCAAGCGTCGATAGCCGAACATCTCACTGCAAATAGCTAGGTTTTCCCAAACCATGTTTTTTTCGGGGTCCTCCGAAAAATGTATCCATGACGTTTTACTGTCTGCGCGAAGGAAATCTCTCTCCAAGGTTTTTAAGCACCATACTCGAACCAACGCACTGCCTGAAGTGAGGGCCACTCACCCAAGAACACGACCGGGACAACCTGCCGGTCTTGCGGGGTCCCAGCGAGGCGCAGCATGGACACAACGTGGTCCAAGGAGCCGTTGGAGGGCAGCACGGGCAGGCGCAATAGCACGCACATGAGGGGGAAAAGGTCCACGTTGGGGAAGGGCCCCACCACCAGGCCACGGACCAGGTCCGGCCCACGCCCCACAAACAGCGGGTGCATAGAGTCTAGGCTGTTGTTGTAGCCGTGGGCTCCATCTGCACCTCACAGTTCACCTAATGAATCTAGAGGAAAAGGTTCACCATCTTCCCACGCATCTCGGCTACCTCGAAATGGCGGGGCATAGAGGCAGACATCAGCGGGCCCAGATTGGCGAGGCGTTAATAAACTGGAAGAAGCAGGAAGGTATCACTTGCAAAGTCGGTAACTAGTCAATTTTAGCTTCATTTTGCAAGAAAACACTAATGTCAGACGTTATATAAAGGATAACTAAATTTACAAGCAAGTGGACAACTGCAGAGTGTTGTGGCAAAGCAAATGCATCAAACATATTGTCTGGTTCCTTTTTTTGTTTTTCTAATGATATCTTCCTGACTCCTTTTATCAGAAGCACCAATGTTATCACTTAAGATTTGCCATGCTCCACACCCGTTGTTACCTCCTAATTTGCACAAAGCAAGGTAGACGGAAGTGAACGCTCGTTCTGCAAGGCCTTTCGAAGCACTTATCCGAAGGTTGTTGGCAAGACAAGTTACATTACAAGGGAGCAATCCAAGGTACAGGAATTGCTCGAGTCCAACAATTACTTTGCGAGCAGTCAGACGGGCAAGCTACAATCGAACATGGCAGCTTGTTCACTGGCTGTTAATGCCTAATGGTGATACAATCGACTCTCATTAATTCAATCTTGTGGATAATTCAAACTAACATGCCGGTCCCATCCTATGCATCTCTATGGGAGGAAACTGCCGGTAATTCAAACTTTGCTTTTTTCAAACAAATTTTTGGTCCCCCTCGAGTTTGAATTAACGAGATTCAACTGTAACTGCACTCTTTGAAGATAGAACAGAATCGGAGTCCCCCTTTTAAAGGAATTAAAGGACTTTCGAGGTTTGTGGCAAACAGTGCCAAGAACATAACATTTACTTAAAACGAAAGAAGCACACAAGAGGACGAAACAGACGACACAGCTTTCGTGTCGTATGCACACAAGAGGACAAAACAAACGACACATGAAAGCTGTGTCGTCTGTTTTGTCTTCTTGTGTGCTTCTTTCGTTTTAAGTCAATGTAGATCACCAACATGCGCTCAAGTCTTTAAATAAAAAAACATAACATCCAGTGCCATTAGTTTATAGTCTCAAACTTGCATGGGGAAAAGAAAGGCAGAGCAGCTACACTTTGAAGCCAGTAGTACCAGTGTAGAACTCGCAAAATATATGCTTTAAGATGTTTTAAAAAGTGGGTTGTCAGTTACATGGTTTCAGCCTTCACTATGTTTATAGGGCTAGTAATTTCAATATTTAACTAAAATCTGTTAATAAACTTTTGAATTAATGGATTTACTAGACATGTTGCAACTAGTAATCCAGATCTCTTATAGCGACTGCAACTGCAGTCGTTATTTTAAAGGAGCAAAAAAGCACCAGATTTCGAGATAGTACTCATCAACAAGTTTTTACAGTTTTCATCGCCCAATTTTAAAAATAGACACAGATAGAGCACTCGAAGTGCTGACAACAATGATGCCTAAAAAAGCAACGTAGCATTTTCAGGCACCTCGTCATTATCTCGTCAACGCATCCGTGGTGAATGTGCCAAAGGCAAGTTGCCAAGATTGTGATGGAGTACCCAAAACCAGTATGTTCCTAGTCTATGCATCATTCTAGACAGGGTTTGCAGCATTCCTGCATCGAGTTTCGGAATAGGCGACAATAAAACAAAATCTGACTAATGAATGTCTCAAAAGCCCATCACTGTCTCGCAAAATGTTTAGATTGGTGTAGCCTTTAACAGTAACTATGGTCAATGCTAACCTGGGATCTTTAATGTGCGTTATGCAGTAGCGTATTTACTACTAGTGTAGCAGACGTTCTGTACTGAAGAAATTGTGTGACATCAGACGGCAATCTTAAGACAAGCTTCCCACCAGTGAGGTAGTCAGGATTCTTTTTTCGTTTTGGGGGGGGGGGGGGGGGGGGGGGAAAGGGGGGAAGGTCATAATGCGTGTGTATATTATAGCATATCTACCAAGTTCAGAGAAACCAAATGTGGAAGATTTTCAAAGACGGGGGAGGAAGAAGGTGGGGGGTTTATAAAAGAAATAGTGACAATGAGTTTACATGAAGATAATGTAGTACTACACTTGTATTGCACTGCTCATGCTAGTGAGATACAGCTGGGTCTCGCTATCATTGCTGCCAAATGTTGCTAAGGCAAAAACTCCTCGTTTAAGTGCAAGGAGGGGGGGAGGGCGATATTTTGCATTTTCCGAGAGATGTTTCTGTCAATCATACAACCATACGAAGTGGTCGAAATTCGGGACTCTCCAGGGTAATGCGGGAGACTTGGCAGGTATGTTATAGGGTCGGCTGGATATTCATGGGGGCTGAAGCCTTATAAGCCTTCCCTATGGCTATGCCACTGCTTCCGACTATCTTTAATTTCAGCATTTTGAGACACCCAAAACTCGGGTATGTCAAAGTGCTCAACGTTCACCAGCTAGCCTGTGCTCTCATCACCACAAAGTCTGCAAAATATTACTTCTTTGCAAACTTGGTCATCTGGGTCCTTATCCATTGGAGCTTTCCTCCTCCACCCCAGAGTAGCAGGAGGCTACTCACATACAGTCCGGTTGTCCCGGGGCCCTGGATTGCCTCTGACCAACTCCCAGCCCTCATTTGCCTCCAGGAGAACGCTGAGCGCTCGGGCATTGCCGGCATAGTGGTATTCGGCAGGGATGTCGGCAGCCAGGTAGGCTCGCAGCCGCACCCCCCGGCTCGATGCCTGCGCTAGCTTGCTGTGCAGCTCCTCGGCAGTGTGACCTGCAAGGAGGCCCAGTCAGGGTACGGTGCCTAAAATGCATCTTCAACCGGTGCATTTATTGTCCTGTACCGCATGCACCAAAAGTGGTCCCGAAGTAGCAACGAATCATGTCACAGCAGCCGGCGTGTCACTTTGTCGAATGTCCCGACCCCGGTGGTTGGTCGCAGAAGTTTCGGCAAAAACGACAAGCAAAACATGAGAGTTCCAGCCGTCGTAGAGCCCCACTTTCTGTCTGCTGAAATCTCCGTCGACTGAAAAGGCGGAGACCGACCTACAGCGAAACCGGTGTCTGCCGTTCCCACCTTCTATGCCACGGCGTGGTTGTGGCAGGCGACAGCACGACACTTCTGCGACGTCATCAGGCAGAAGTCGAGGGACTACAAATGAGGGCACAGTAAACGCAGCAGTCGGTGATAGTTTCTAGGAATCTTAGTGAGGTAGAGTCCGTGACCTGCTGGAACAGTCCTGCTCACCTCCACGAGGAACCAGATTCCAGACGGGGCTGGTGCCGTACTCCAAGTAAGCGTCGGCACCCAGGATGGCGTCCACATCGATCACGTTGGCAGACGGCACCGAGGCCATGCCATGGTCACTCACCAGCAACAGGTTCAGCCTGAAAAGCGCGAGAAGGTAACGGCAAAGAAAGGAAACGTGATGTCACAGTAAGTCGTGATGAAACTGATGGCAAACAATTTGTCGCTTTCTCATTTTACGGAGATAGGTGGGACTTCCCAGCTGCATTCGCGGTGTCGGCACTGTGACAGGCAGAAAACTCTTGTCTCGCGTGCGCCCCATGATGTCAGGTGAAGCGAGCGCATTTGGCTCTTAATTTGCCAAGTGGCACTGCCCTCTACTTCTACATTTAGCAAAACACACCGCTACACGTTCCTCACCGTAGAATTCGGTATGCACGTACTGTCATAAAACAACCCACCACTCGCAATGGTACACGTCTCGATTTATTCACAGGCAGGGACGTTAACTCGTATGTGCAGTGTGCTCCCTTTCCTTTGCCCTTCAGTGGCCATGAGGCTGTTGTGTTTGATTGAGTTAATAAAAACTGGATATGTGTAAAAGTGGGCGTTACTACGTGCAATAACAGCTATCACTGTCACTTCGCACAATGCTGAAAAGCTGCAGATTTCTCACTTACTGCCATAAAAAACCACCGCGTCCCGCAAACCGCACACCGACCTGTCCAAGAGGCCCGCTGCCGCCAGGCTTTGCACCATCTGCCCGACCAGATTGTCGACGGCCTCGACCTGGGTCCGAACCTCAGTTGAGAATGGCCCAAAGCGGTGGCCCGTCGCGTCGGGTTCTTCGTGGTACAGGAGCACACAATTGACAGGCTCCGCCGAGTCCAGGAACCACGAGATGACCGTGTCTACCCGGGTGGTGAAGTTCACACGGGGGTCGTAAGCCAGCACGCGGTGGGCGCGGCCATTGTGGAACGTCACGTCGGTGCCCGGCCACATCATGCCCCCGCTACGCCTCGACGTGCCATGCAGCTGATTTGCAATCTGCGCAGACAGAGTGTGGCATTGACTTGGGAGTTTTCGCAACCAACCAGAGCTCATACTTGAATCCCGGACTAAGGCTAACCGAATTATTCACAGACTTGAAGAAAGCTGTGCTAGTGAACCCGGAGAAAAACTCACCCAGATAAAAGTGTCTCCACGGGCTTAAATAATATTACAACTGCCTGCAAAAGTGGCTCAATCAATGAAAAAGTATTATGGCTTGAGCAAGGTTCGAGATTAGTGCAAATCAAGGACAGATGTAGCACCCACATAGGTTAAGAACAATATCGGATTAACCCCCAGCACAATCTGTAAAACTTGTTCTCAGTCGCATGTCTGCAGTCGAACGACTGCAGACATGTGCCCGTCTTGCATGCCCACAGTTTAGCACGGCCAGGTTTGACGTCGGGTGAGCTTTCATCCTGGTTACCAAGATCAAAGGAAGGGATGAGCTTTTGCCGGGTGAGCTTTTTTTTCGTCCGGTGAGATTTTATCCAGTCAACCTCGTACCCAGATGGGCACCACCTGCCCGTTGTCCCACCACCTGGGGTCGGTGTTGCTCAGGTCGAAGGTCTCGTTGAGCGTCGGGTCGTACATGGAGTTGCCCATGATGCCGTGGCTTTCCTCGTACAGCCCCGTCGCCAGCGTGAAGTGGTTGGGAAAAGTCTTGGTCACGTACACGTTCTTCATGTACTCCGCGCGAACTCCTTCGGCCGCCAGCGCCTGGATATTGGGGGTGTTGTAGAGGGACAGGTATTGGTACCAGAAGCCGTCGAACGACACGACCAGTAGGAGCGGGACATCGTCAGATGCGGCGCAGCCCGCCCACCAGGCGTGGCATAGCACTAGCAGACACCAAGCGCAGGACTTCATCGGGAGCTGTAGCTAGCCTCACTTCAATCTCTTTTAAAGCTCTACTGACCGCTGGCAGACACGTCGACCCAACAGTTCGACCGCTGATGTGCATGAGCACTCACGTACGTGAAACCAGACACGAGGAGCATCCTTTCGGACAAGGGGAGCATATGGATATGGTAGGGACGCGCCACGGTGAAAGCTCTGAACTGTCCGAAGTGGACGACCGACAGCTGACGACGGCACCTGCTGCTGTTGCGCGGAATTTAGTAACGAGTCGAGGTCTTGACAGCGTCGCCGTGGCGGCCTCGCATCAGCGGCGTCAGTGACGTAGCGACGCCAACGACGGTTGTTATGGTAACTGTCGCGCGATGTCCGTGCCGTTGACTCGTGCTGTACGAGGCTATGGCTGCACTATCGAGGCAGGTCTTTACTGGGCTGTAACGCGGTAATGCCGTACACGTACCCATTGCATAGAACCCTTGGAACCAAGTTGGAACCAGATCCCGAAGTTTCAGAAAGTACCGTTTCCAGTGATCCCTATTGTAGTCGATTGTAGTAGACTGGATCGCGGATCGGGAGCACGTCGGTGTCGGGAGAAACATTGAGATCAGTGGGAGAAACGCACAAAAGTAAGAATATTGAAGCATGTACGCTGTGCTTGGAGGCGAGTATTTTATGGTGTGCTGCGATCCTTATGTCGGGTGTTTGGAGATCGAATCGGTATTTGCCAAACGTTCGAACGCCGATTTAAAAAAATCAAACGTACCGGAGCCCCTACGGCTGAGCTGGCAGGCTTGCTCTCGTAGTGGAATAAACGAAGGAACTCGCCGCCAATGAGACCGTCCTCGGGGAAGCCTAGAAGTTGATGAGTGAAAAAAAAGTTCCATCTCGACAGCGGCTTTCCGGGAGTGAGCAAAGCCTTCGAGCTTGTCGTCTGCTAGACCCAACTCAACGAAACCGCCACCGACTCCGCGGTAACCCTAGGGAACTCTCGCCAACTCTCGCCTCATTGAGCTGCACTACGTGCACTACACTTTCGCCCAGCGGAGTCACTCTCGACCACAAAATATTTATTTATAAGAACTGCGAGGGCTTTCCGCTCTAATGTTTGTACGCAAGCTATTTTATGGGCTTATCGAAAAGCAGCCAAAAAGTTTCAGTGCCGGCAGCAACTTAGAAACGGGTGAAACGATACTTTTTCTCGTTTTTCCCATACATGGGTTGCACTGACGTCACATCGCGTACTTTTGACCACCATGTAAGAGGAGGAGAGGGAAGCTGCTTTTGCAAGAATTTTGAGTGAAACGGGTTAAACCTCTATAGACGATTGCAACCAGGACATCAGGCCGCTCTAGAGCACTATATAGCTCCTACGGAGCAGAGTAGCGCAATCCTTTGAACCCCGTGTTTCGCCGACAACATGGCCGACAGAGCAGCCAGGCACGAGTCACGTGGTACTCAGGGTTCCAAGAGGCGGCCCGCCCTATGGGAGAATACATGGAGATCGACATAACACGGCTGATTAAAAAAATAACGGCGAGTTCACACTTTTCAAAACTAGCCTGTCGTGAAGTTAGTAAGGCGCTAAACACTTTATAAAAGTTTTAATAATATCGGATGCTTGTGCAAATTTTGAGAAGGCAATTTCCAGGGCAATGGCGTTTGAAGCAGACGATTTTTGCTCGCAGCGGAGATGGGCTTTTCGGGTTGGCCGGAGCGGGTCACGTGAATAGTGTGACGTCGCCGTGTCGTCTGCTGCATGATGCCGCTCAGGCAATTTTTTAAAAAAAGTTACGTCCTTGCATGGCACAAAACTTATCGCAAATTATTCTAAAATGTTTCATTATTATGTCAAAAATGATTGCCATTCCGTACATCCCCACAAAACTGAAGAAACAACGATTTTCTCACGTTCTCCATGCATTTCTGACCGCAGTTGGAACCTCCGGGCGTTCGCCGCTAGTCGCCGAGAGACGGCGTTCTAGATTGCGCTACTCTGCTCCGTAGGAGCTATATAGTGCTCTAGGCCGCTCCAGTGTCTCTGCTTGTGCGGGCAATGGACCTTTTCCACATACCGACGGCACCAGGCGGTGGCTGCACGAACTAAAAATCGAGGAAGTGACCTACCTGCGCTACCAATCGATAATGGGAGCTAGCTACCAGTTTCTTCGCTCTCTGAGCAGCGGCGCGTGCCCAACGCGACTTTAAAGATGGGCATCCGTGGCGCCCACCCAAACGTCGTGTTTTCCTTTCCAACGACTTTCTTTTTTTGTGTAACACAATTATATATATGTTGCCGTTACGTGTTCTACTCGCTGATATACAGCCTCCTTCCGAATTTCCTCGATTTTTCGTTCCGACTTCCACCGCTTGGCATCGGGCGCTCGCGCGTGCGCAGAACGCTTCTCGGAAAAGGTCCTTTCCAAAAAACACTCGACCCCAGGGGCAACAAACCGTTTTCGAGCCCAGTCACTCAGTTTGAGGCTAGACCACTGATCTCAATGACAATTGCTGGATCGCGCTTGCCGCTCCCGCAAGTGAAGCCACCGGGCTTCACTCGCTTGGGATACGATTTGCCGTTTTTGCTAGCCTTTGCTGCGGTTTTCCAGCGTGCTGACGACACGTTTTCTACTCGTTCGTCGTCATTCGCCGAAGAAGTTTTTTGAAGACTCTGTGTATTGTTGAGACTTGCCGTTGTGAACACGTGGAAAATTTTACGAAAGTGCAGTGTCGCAGGAAAAAGGCACAACGCGTCGAAAGGAAGGGCTGGCGGCGTGTTCAAAGCTTCCTTGGCACGCCGAAGTGCCGTGTCTCTGTGCCTTCGCGCGCTTAGATACCGACCAAGAACCGACGCCGTGTGAATGTGTTTAGCGAGTGCAATGTGCGTGAAGCCGTATCAAAAGGTACAACTCGTCGAAAACGTGTCGCCGGTGTCGCGGCGTGATCAAAGCTTCCTTGGCACGCCGAGTGATGCATCTTTGTGCCTTCGCACGCTTGGATACCGGTCAAGAATTGACGCCGCGCCAAAGTTCTGAACGTGTGTCGCGCGTAGATGCCTTTAGATCATTTATATATATCGGCCACGGAGTTCTGGATCGTCCAGCTGTTCCGGTGAGTTGCTATCAATAAAAGGGGGAGATCTGTACGTGTGCTATGTCCCAAATCTACTCTAATAGATTCCGTGGGAGCACGAATAGGGCAACGTTGTGGAGCCAGGGGGGTTTTCGAAAGCAAAAGTACAAGACGGCGAGAATGAAAATCTTTGAAGCGCGGCCGATATGGTCGTGTGCAATCTGTTGACCAATTACAATTAGGCGAGCCGCGCTCAAACGTCAAGTGCAATTAAGTAGGTTGATAATAAGCCAGCACTGATCAGTGATGAGGAGCTGTTGTGCACGGTACTGTGTAAATAGTCTAAGGACGAAAAAAAGACGTACCTTCTCCCCATCTTCCGTCGCTAGTGGACGCTGGATTAAGCTCGTTCCTAAACCGCGAGGGGAAAAGACGCTGATCGAGAGGCACGAACAGCTTCACGCACATTGCACTCGCTGAACACATACACACGGCGTCGGTTCTTGGTCGGTATCCAAGCGTGCGAAGGCACAGAGACACGGCACTTCGGCGTGCCAAGGAAGCTTTGAACACGCCGCCAGCCCTTCCTTTCGACGCGTTGTGCCTTTTTCCTGCGACACTGCACTTTCGTAAAATTTTCCACGTGTTCACAACGGCAAGTCTCAACAATACACAGAGTCTTCAAAAAACTTCTTCGGCGAATGACGACGAACGAGTAGAAAACGTGTCGTCAGCACGCTGGAAAACCGCAGCAAAGGCTAGCAAAAACGGCAAATCGTATCCCAAGCGAGTGAAGCCCGGTGGCTTCACTTGCGCTGCAGCGAACAAGCGGGGAAGCGCGATCCAGCAATTGTCATAGAGATCAGTGGGCTAGACTCTCACCGGCGTCCCTCCTAACCCTAACCGAGTGGACTGTGATTTCAATAGGCGCAGCCTGCGTACGCGCAGTTTCAAACGGTGCTGGCGGCTAAATACTGGTCTTTTCCCGCTATATTTTGTGTTTCGTGGTACAAGCATTTTCCCGAGGACATTGAGAAAGCATTGTGCCACATTTGAAAAAACAAGAAAAGCAAAAAAAAACTAAACTATTTTTGTTGGGTACCCGCGCGACAGAACGAATGCGACTGGAATGTATAGTTCTAGTTATTTGTTTTTTTTTCTTACGATAAGCTTTGACGGCGTCGCGGGATTCGCCGCATATGAAACGACAAAGCGCCTTGCTGTCAAAAATAAATTGCAACAGAAGAGGGCCGAAAGGCATGCATTCTTCACGCTCACAAATAACCTGTTTATTGATGGACAGGACACGGACATACAATTGAGGAAGTGGTAACATTCGAACAATATGTCGTACGTACCACACGATGCAGCGTTATCCGAAAAAAATTTATTTGAGAAAGATCGCAAATAACACAGTCACAGTCGACGACAGTCACATCTTGACGATCGGACGGAATCCGAGATGACTTCGTTTTGGGGCACGTTTTAGGGAGAGCTTCCTTTTTTCACAACCGCACCAAGGCAAAGAAACAAACGCGACTGACCGGTTTCTCACCCCAACTGCCTCAACCCGGACAACTATTTTTGGAGATGACTGAGGATTCTACGCGGATTATCTCTGGGAGGGGGGAGAACAATGTTCGCAAAATCGCGTCGAGGGTCGTTCGACGTCCTTCACCTCCTTCGTTTCCCGTGAATGTCGAGCAGAAAAGCTTGAATGGCAGGCACTTACCAGCCTTATTTGTCACAGTGGAAGATAACACGGAAAGAAACGCAGCACGCATAAAAAAATTAAGTGGAAACTTTCTAGAAAGGCGAGAAAACGTCGAATGCAAAACCGCAAAAACGTAGGTAGAGAACCGCGCTGAGCGGGTCTTCACAGTTCCAGAGAGTGGCAGAAAATTTCTAGCTGATAGAGGGCGCGAGAGTCGCGCCAGCCGCATCAGCATCAGCAACATGGCGGCGGCCTAGGAGCGTTTTTTGGAAAGGTGTATATTAGGGGTGTCGCGAACTTTTGTCGAACAAGATTTTTAGGTCGAACTTTCAGGTTTCGACTGGGTCGAACCGGTTCGACGAACCTTCGAACTTTTCACCAAAAATCGACCGGTTCGACTTTGTGGACAGTGTGGCCAGACCTTGATACAAGCATGTCTAGGTTTGCAGAATTTTTTTTTTTTATGAAAAGGGTTATTTTATTTTGAAAACAGTTGCAATTGACCTTTTTCCAGTAAGCGTCTGCGCACGCGCACACCCTTTTCCCTTG